ACTTTCTCTGGCCATTACTATCTTCCATTACCACCATTACCACCACCACCGCCAATAGAGTCCCTCTCTCACAGTAAAACACACACTTTTTACCCAAAATGTCCACCACCAAAATAAGCACCGTCTCCGCAACACGCCTCAGTCATTCATCTCATGCTTACACTCTCTTCTTTCTTTCTTTTCTGAAACCTATTCGTTTTTTGCTTGCACTCCTTCCACTAACTTATACTATGATTATTACTGTTGTTATTGTCACTTCACCAATAAAGATATATCGGATAACTTCAATAGCTGGCCAAATGCTGTTCAGCTCGGTTCGGTGGTGGTGGTGCTCTGTGTTCAGACTACACCATAAAGATTGGGATCCGCAGAAATGGTGAGAACTGATCGGAGGTGGGTGATAATCCTTCAGTGAGAGCATGAGTCCTGTGTGTGTACTTGGGAACACAGACAGAGTCAGGATGATCTTTATCAGCTACTATTTCTTTGATTTGTGTGATCTTTCATCATCATCGTCGTCGTCGTCATTAATTGATTGGTTAAAATTATAATAATAATGGAGTGGAAAGTGTAGTTTGTAATATGGGAGTGTCACAGGGGAAGAACAAAAAAGAAAGGAGGGATACAAAAACATCGAGAATCGACAGCGTTTAATCAATAATCAATAAAAAATACAGGAGAGAGGAAGAGAGACGAGAATGATAATAGAAACTGACGAGTTCTCAAATTTGTGTGTAAGAGAAAGAGAGAGAGAGAGAGAGGGGAGGAGAGGAAAGGTGTTGTGGTGTTGGTGTCTTGGAACATCGCAGAAGTGTTGACCTCGAGCTGGTAAAAGGAGGACAAAAGAAGATGAAGATAGTAATCACTTGTTGTTGCATTGGTCGTCTGCAAGAGGTGTAGTGTATGTTCGGTGTAGTGTGTGGTTGGGATTGTGGAATTGTGTGTTGTGTCTGTGAATGCATGCAGGGTGTGTAATGTGTGTTGCTGTTGTTATGCCGAATGTTGGCTAAAAGTTGGTTGGATTAGGTTGCAGGGTCGATCACTGCACTGGAGAGAGAGGTGTGGTTGGTAGAGGAGGTGCTGTTGCAGATTTAGGTTGACCCTGGGTGTACTACTTTTGGTACTTCAGCTGGTTGGACAGCCAGTCGAGACCCTCGTAGAGGCCGTCACCGGTGGTTGCACAAGTGGCCTGGATGTACCAGTTGCGATTGCGAAGTGAGTGCAGGCCGAGCTTGTCGGTGATCTCCGCGGCGCTCATGGCATTTGGCAGATCCTGGAATGAAGTGGAAGCGATTAGTTAGTTCCTGCTTTCAAGGCGAACCGATTGTTGTACTGCTGATGTGCTCGCTCGCCTTGCACCACAACAAAGGCTCCTCATCTTTCGTACCTGTTTGTTCGCAAAGATGAGAAGGACTGCATCACGAAGCTCATCCTCAGCCAGCATGCGCATCAGCTCCTCGCGTGCCTCACCAACACGCTCGCGATCGTTGCTGTCCACCACGAAGATAAGGCCTTGCGTGTTCTGGAAGTAGTGTCTCCAGAGGGGGCGAATCTTGTCCTGGCCGCCGACGTCCCACACGGTAAAGCTGATGTTTTTGTACTCGACGGTCTCCACGTTGAAGCCTGTAGGCGGCGATGCGGTAAAAAGGTCACATGATTAGCACCAGGAAGTAGCATAGCACCGCATAGCATGGTGTAATAGCCAGCACTGCTTACCAATGGTTGGAATGGTGGTGACGATCTCGCCTAGCTTCAGCTTGTAGAGGATGGTGGTCTTACCGGCGGCGTCAAGACCGACCATCAGAATGCGCATCTCCTTCTTGCCGAAGAGGCCCTTGAAGAGGTTCGCAAACACGTTTCCCATGATGTTCGTGGAGTGGTTCGGTTGGGTTGGGTCGGAAGGGGGTGGTAGTGGTGGTGGTGGTGGTGGTGATGGGATCGAGGATGATGAACAAGTCGGTGTAACACACAACACACGCAATTTGCTGGTGGTCGTAGATTAGAGCGAGCAGAAGGTAACACCGGGCGAGGATTTGAGAGTTGGCTGCTGGTGGTGGTAGTATTGCCGATTTGGCAGAGAGAGAAGCGATCGTCAGTGAGTGAAAACTTTTTTTCACTGAAACACACTCACTCACACAGAGAGAAAGAGGCTGCCAGTGTTGCCAGCTGACATGCGCACAGCCGGTGCTGAGTCAGCGTACGGCGACAAGGCTTGGGGGGCGGCCGCAGAGGATGTGCAAAAGTGGTTGTCGCCGCTGGTCGCCGGCTTTCATTCTCAGGCGGTAGATTGCGCCACCGTTTGGGTTAGAAAAAGAAAAGATCAGATAACGGGCAAAAAATGTTTGTTGAGTTCGTTTTGAGCACATTTGAAAGTGAAAAACAACTTGTTTTGCCAGTTCAATAATAACTGCAGTGTCCGAATTCTGCTAATTCCCAAGGAATGCCTGGGAAAGTAAAAAAAGTTACAAACATACACATGTTTACAACCCTTGTTGTCAGCTTGTCGGTGAGAATTCCCTTGAAGTAGCACTGTTCTTCGAATTTCAAAACACGAGGGCAGTTCATCGGCTACTAGTTTCACTACCGTCGCCGTTTTTATTTGCTGTTGTCTAGGAGCATTCAACTGTGAACCAGGCAAACCAGACTCCTGGAGTTTGCTCATAAATCAAATCACTTCAATGGCGGAGGCGGAAAGTGATGAAATCACCTGCCAGCTTTATCGATGCTCTCAATTGAATTACTTTACTAACTGCTCTTTATTCTAGGTGAACTCCAATGACTGTGCTGAAATAGCTGAAAACACCCAAAGAGAAGTTAACACCCCAAGACATCTCAATTGAATGGCCAGCGGAAAGAAAATTCAATTGATTGAAGCAAACCTACTTTCACTAATTGCACTACTTGATGAGAAGTCAGAGTGAATGCACTGCTGGTAGAGAAACAAAAAAGGCGCAAATTGCCGTAAAAAAGTAAAGAAAAACAAAACAGTTTTTCGGTGATGAAACATCGGTTCGCCAGTGGAGAAAGTAAGAAAACACATCATATAATTAATTTCAAAAACAAATGAAGCAAGCTGAAAGGCAAACAAACACTGACACAACTAGCAAATAGAAAAATGTGCCAGCAAGAAAAATATTTTATCAGGAAGGAAATGGTTCAGGTAAGTGGCTGAATCAATATTCTCTTTTTCTCACACACAGAGAGTGTGCTGTTGTTTTGGCCTGATTTGTTCTTTTCTCTTCTCTCTTCTGCTCAGTGATCATTCCCGTCTTTTTCTTCTTTTTCCCTCTTCAAAGCAGATATGATGATGCTTCCCTGATGACTTTACACTGATGCACTAAACACAACAAAAGAAACGGAAAATTTGTACAAATCGTTCGCCAAGAGCAGAGGTAATGTCAATTTGAGAAGGAGAGAGTATCTCAAGAGCGTATATTTCACCGATATTAGTATCCATCATTCTCAATACAATAGTAATTGTTCAACCAGTCAGCGAGAGTACATTTTGAAAGAGATCTCAGCTTCATTTATTTCAAATTATCTTTTCTATTTACTTTAGAACGATGCTGAGATGGTTCGCTTGGCTGAGAAAGGGAAAAAAGAAGAAATATGTCTGTCATTAAAGTGATATTAGCGTTTGTACATTTAGAAGAAGGGGTCAGGAGGGAAAATATATTCAGAAGAGCAGTGTGCTGAAGGGTTAGCCAAGTGCGCACCAGAGAAAAATATATTTCCAAGGCAAATCAGTCCACTGATGATCGGAGAGTATTGTAACAACGTTGAGTAGCATCAGAACATTGAAAGAACTAAACAATTAAGGGAAATTACCAGTCAATGTCAGGGAAACAGGAAAAACAGATGATACTAAATAAATGTGCAGACAACAACCGTTAACAACTCCTAATGCTGACTGAATGTTGTCGGGTCACGCTTCAGCTCGGTTTGCCGAAGACTTGATTAGCAGTGAGGGAGAAAATGACTGCTTGTCCTCAGACAAAAACAAAAAACAATAGAGTGCTGGCTGAGTGCTACTGAATGTGACCAACAAACTGACTGACAGTTTGATCCAATCGATCATCATCGGATTGCTGGGCTGCTTTGCTGATTTGCGGGTGTTGACAACATGTGATGACAGGACATGTGCGACCACGATTAATTGGTCGCCCACTTTAAATTACCCTGCTTGTCCCTCCAGCCTTTCTCTTTCTCTAGTTCTGCCAATTTTTTTGAGCACATCATCTCAACTGTCATCAAGTTGTTAATTAAATGGCGATCCGAAATGTTAACATCCAAGGGTAGGTGCATATTTGTGTTTTACTTTTAAAATATAACTTTGTTATTAATTTGACGGTAATTAATTTGAAGTCTACTTTATTATTTGCTCAGTGCGTCATTAGTGCTAGCAAACTGTTCCTTTCATTAGGTTTTTATGAATATTGTCAGATTTTAAGAAAGAATTATTTGACATCACAGCTATAACAAATGCGTTTGAGTTGGTTTGATATTCAAAAATAAATTATTAAATCAACTGACGGCATCTGGCGCCTAACTTGATTTAGGAAAGCATTTGGCGCACAATGACATTAAATTAATTATTTTTTGTATCATTTTGTTTACAAATACTCACATCAAAAGTCACTGAACGTGAACGGTACATGTGCACTCACTAATTCAAACTGAATAGAGACATTTCAGAAAAAAAGTTCAAATTACTAAATCTTGTCTAGACAATAATGCAATCAAGTAGCTTGTCAAGGAAAATTGTCAAAACACATTTGACTGTTTTTGTTGCTAATTTGTGATACGACAATTTGTTGATGGGCGACGTTTTAAACCAACTTATCGCACAATGACTTGGGATTTGTGTTCCCACATAGTAACGACGCTGTTGTCAAACAGATCTGATAAGTGCAAAACGATATATCACAGTAGGTGTTTTTACAGTCCACATTTGCATTTTTCATTGCTGAAAAGACACAAATTAGTTTTTTTCAATAATTTAATTTTTCAAACTTGAGTAAGTGTTTATTTGGTTTAATGGAAACGACCCTGGGCAAACACACATCATTGAACACTAATTTTTTTAACTCATTTCAAATGACCATGTTTTTTCTTTACTTGTGGTTGAAGTAGAAATAGTAGATTTAATTAAAATTTTTAATTAAGTGCTTGCACAAAAAAGAATAGTCAATAGAGAGGAAACAATAAAAAGCTAGATTGGCAAATATTTGATGAGGCACCTTTTATTGACCATTATATTTTTCATTAAATTGTCTTTTTATGATGACCATTTTACAAAAACCTTTTTTGAGGATTCAACGATTATTTGAATGGTACAAACAGAACGTGTTTTTTGCAAATTACAAAATATTTTTTTCAAATTTTTTTTGAAATGTTGGAAAAACAAATTTTTGAACAGTGTAAGTTTAAATTAAGGGGGGACAACGCGCACATAGCAACTTTTTTCGAATTTTTGGTTTCCTTTACTAGTCAACGGCATTTTTTACTAAGATCTTTACACCGAACGGTACACTTTCCGGCAAAATAAAAGTTGGCATTGCATGATCAGAGATGCCAAATGAAAGACAACAAAAAAAATCTAAAGTTTGTTGGACTTAGATCTTTTAATGTAGCTCTTATTATTTTTTGAGAATATTTTAAAAGTAAACTTTCTAAGTTTTCTTGCATTTTTTTATCTTAAATCTTGAATCAAAAATCATCCTAGAAAGTCTAAAACCGCATAAAAATAATTTAGCTCCAATATTTTTTAGTTTTAGACGTCCCCTTTCATTCGGTTTATCTGATTATTCATGCCAGCTTCCATGGTTCCGGAAAGTGTACCAATAGGTTCGGAACATTTAAATCCTTCATGACTGCAATCCGTTCACCGGAAGGTCAAAATATTAACACAAAACTGTCCTACATGAAATTCTTAACAATTTGTATTGAGTACATTTTTCATGAACATCCTAGCCACCCCAAAATCAAAATTCGAAAAAACAGTAAAAAAGTGCGCGGTGTCCCGTCTTAAGGCAAGAGTGCTTTGAATTTTTTAATTTTACATGTTTTTAATAGTTTCCATGTAAAACACTCATTTTACATTAAATTTATACAAATTTCGGTTACTGCTCCTAAAATTATGATTTTGGTTTTAAAATATTTTTAAAGACTTTATCTTGAATCGTATGGAGAGGTTTGGGAAAATATTGTTTTGGAATTTTTTAATGATCCACCAATGTTGAAAAGTTTGTTGACTTCAACTTCACCTCGCTGCAGAACAAAAACTAAACGACATTTTTTAAAAATTCTCTATACGATTTAAGATAAAGTCTTTAAGATTATTTTAAAACCAAAATCATAATTTTAGGAGCAATAACCAAAATTTGTATAAATTTAATGTAAAATGAGTGTTTTACATGGAAACTATTA